TTTGGTACATTATAATTATACATAATATTGGGATTCGTTGTTACACATTCTACACATGTGCACAATATGACAATTTGGTTGGTTGACATCTTTCCCCAGTACCTTCCCTTTCCCTCTCCTCCTCCCTCACCCTGGGTCCCTTCTTCTATTCTACTGGTCTCCCTTCTAGTCAATTCTCATACAAGATGTACCAGAAAATAGAAAGAGTGAGTTTTGCCAGTTCACTTTAATTGCCAGTTCAAGATTACAAGACCTGTGTAATCTTGACTCCAATATCAGATAAGAACATGATAAGAAAAGAAAAGTATAGGTCACTTTCGTTTATGAGTGTCAATGTAAAAATCTTAAGACAATAGCTAACTGGATCCCAATCAAATAAAATATCTCAAAAATTCAAGGATGGCTCAATATGTAATCCTCTATTAAATTAGTTCACCTCCCTGAAGGCAACAAGAGGTAAACTGCATCATCTCAAAAGATGAAGAGAAAGCTTTAGATAAAAATCCACTACTTATTTTTTTCCATCTCTAGCAGAGCTGTGAGCAGTGGCACATAACTATCATCCCAGTGGCTCAGGAGACTGAGGCAGAAGGATCAAAAGTTCAATGCCAGCCTTAGCAGCCTTCGTGACACCCTCAGCAATTTTGCAAGACCTTTTCTCAGAATATAAAAATAAAAAAGGGCTGGGGATGTAGCTTGGTGGTAAAGCAACCCTTGTTTAATACCCAGTACCCAAAAAAACAAAACAAAACAAAACAAAAAAAAAAAACCTCTAGCAAACAAGCAATGGAAGAAAAATTTCTTAACTTGGTAAAGGTAATATACCAAAGCCTTTAATACCTGTTATATTTAAATAAACTTTAGATGTGTTACCTTTAAGGCATTACAAGATAAGGATTCCCACTATTACTACGTCTGTGGCACATTACAGTGGAGATCCCAGTCAACCTTACAAGAAAAAAAGGAAGCAAGAGTGGTAAGAATTAAAAGAGAAGAGAAAATCTTTATTATTTGAAGATGATTTGGTCATCTAGGTAGAAAAAGTAACAGGACCATCAGACAAACCCTAAGAACTTATAAAATACGTCAGCGAATTTATAGAGGAAAAAAAGAACAACTAATATAATCAACAGCATTTTTCTACCAGGAATTAGGAAACTAAGACACTGTGGGCAAATCCCCTGTAAGGCTTGTTTTTGTGAGTCGCACCAGATAAGCATGGTTTTTACATTCATTAAAGGATTATAAAACACAAACAAGCAAAGAAGAACATGTAAAAGAACTTAAATGGCTACAAAGCTTAAAATATTTACTATCTGGCCCTTTACAGAAGGAAGTGTGCCATCTCATCTCTAAACCAACAATAACCACCTGGAAAACATAATTTTCAAAAATAGCCAGGTGTTGGTGGTGCATGCCTGTCATTCCAGCAATTCAGGAGGCTGACGTAGGAGGATCAAGTTTGAGGCCAGCCTCAGCAACCTATAAAGATCCTAAATAACTTAGCAAGACCCTGTCTCAAAACAAAAACCAAAAAGGGCTGGGGATATAGCTCAGTGATTGATTAAGTGCCCCAGGGTTCAGGCTCCGATTCCAAAAAAAAATGCTGAGTACCAGAGCCCACGCCTGTAATCACAGTGCCTCAGGAGGCTGAAGCAGAATGATAGCAAGTTGGAGATCAGCCTCCACAATTTAGCAAGACCCTGCCTCAAAAGGTGTGTGTGTGTGTATGTAATATTATATATACTATATATAATATATATGATATATATAATATATTATATACATATTATATATAACACTATTCACAATAGTATCAAAAGTGTGTAAGAAGTAAGTAAATGAAGAATTCATGAATTCTCTGTAGAAAAAAAAATTTGAACACAAAGCAAGGACAAGGATACACAAAATGAGACGAATTAAAGGAGAGATAGTCTATGTTCTTGCATGGACTGCCTGAATAATCTCCTAAATTAATTTAAAACTTCAGTACTGTTTCAACTGGACTTTTAAAGGAATTCAATAAGCTTGTTCTTAAAATCTATATGGAAGAAATATCCAAAAAAGATACTGAAACTACCAATTTAATGATATGTGCTTTATTATCATTTAAAATTATAGATTTTAACTTTGCCTTTCTACTCCTGTGATATATAAAAAGATGGAAAACAGAAGTAAAATAAACTGATGAAGACATTTCTAAAATAGTTTTGCATGCAGAATCGTGCTCTTCTGAATTATAGTTTGATGTAGATATGTCCATGTCCAAGTTTCTGCAATCTTCATCAACAAAGCTTTGATGCAGCTTTTCTTGTAAGTGGAAACAAATGAAATGGCTCATTTGATTGTTTTTGACAAAGCAGTAACTTCATTTTATTTTCTTTTTCCTCCTTTTTTTTTTTTTTTTAAGGTGGCTTCTCACTATGTTACCCGGGCTGGCTTCAAACTCCTGGCCTCAAGCAATCATCCTCCTGTCTCAGTTTTCCTAGTCACTAGAACTACAGGCATACACCTGGTTAGAATAGCAGTGTGATATGATTCAGCCTAAAAGAAGAAGAAGGAGGAGGAGGAGAAGGAGGAGGTTGCACTTTCATTATCTCCAGAATTTTTTTCCAAGTGCCAATACTCATTCTGCAAGTTTTCCTCTCTCTTTTTTGGACTGGGGATTGAACCCAGAGGCACTCGACCACTGAGCCACATCCCCAGCCCTGTTTTGTATTTTATTTAGAGACAGGGTCTCACTGAGTTGCTTAGTGCCCTGCTTTGGCTGAGGCTGGCTTTGAACTCTGGATCCTCTTGCCTCAGCCTCCCAAGCTGCTGGGATTACAGGCGTGTGTTACTGTGCTCAGCCGTTCTGCAAGTTTTGATACTGATGCTTTCTTGTTCTTCCCAGAAGATATCAATGGAAGGCCTTTTTAAGACAATGACCAGGATATTACCCTTTCGGATGGCTTTTGGGGGCGGGTGGGGGGCGGCAGTACTGGAGATTGAACGCAGGGTTCTTAACCACTGAGCCACATCTGCAGCCTTTTTTTATTTTTTATTTTGAGACAGGGTCTCACTAAGTTGCTGAGGCTGGCTTTGAACTTGCAATCATCCTGCCTTAGCTTCCCAAGTTGCTGGAATTACAGGTGTGCATGCACCACCAAATCCAACTTGATTTTAGAAATGTTAAACAAGGGGGTATTGCATTTTAGAATTGAACGAATTTAATTTAATAGGCAATTTTGACAATCACCTCAGCTTCCTCAACCTTCAAAGGATCACAGTTCTGAGACTGGTTCTTGGCTGTCTCTTGAGAGTGCCATGGTCAATTGGAGGCCCACGGGCCCACAGCAGTAGCCTGCTCAAAAACACATCCTTGATCAACTTCCTTCTCTCCCCCACATCCTTTCTCGGCTCTCTTACTGATGTTTCTTCACCTCCTTCTACAGAAACTCTTTGCAACTCAAATCCTTGTTCCCGTGTCTGTTCCTGAGGAGATGCAACCTCACACAGAGAGCAAATTTCATCCAAGGACCTTGTAGCATTGGGCCATCGTTTGGGAACCAGAGATGCGACTCCTCTCCACATCAAGGCTTCCTTTCCTGCCATATGAACCCCAAGGTCACCTTGTCCTAACTCCCTGCAGTCCATGTCCAGTCTTCCCTTTAACCCTCCACCCACCTCCTGCTTCCACCACCTCCACCTTCCCTTGTCTGCTTACCCACACTGTTTTGTTCCCTTTCCCTGTTTCTCCCAGAATAGCACAGGGGAACCCCAGGAGCAGAAGAATTCTCTATTCTGAATCTGACCCCCAGTGGTGGAGAGGAAGTGTGTTCACCAGTTAAGAGGGGGGAAAAACAAAAACATTAAATTTAATTAAATAATATTAAGCAAACAAGTAATCAGATGCCCTAAGACTCATACTTAATAGCCAACAGACATCAGAGATGTTCAGAATGTCTCAGGATGCAAGAAAAGTCTGTGTCTCCTGCTAGCCAACCTGCCTCCTCTGGTCAAATAGCATCACTAGCAGGAATGGAGATAAAGTGGCAAGCAATGGTACCTTTGAACTGGAGACAGGGGAAACCCTATAAAGCCCAAACATTTCTTACCCTGAATTCTGAGTTGTGCCTTAGTGATAATAAACACAATATCCATTAAATGAGCCACGGAGATGGTCTATGGGCAAGCTCTGGGCCACCTTTGGCTCTCATTATGAAGCATTAATGAAGCTTGCAGGACACAAAAGCCCTCAGAGCAGAGTCTGTTTATGTTCCCCGAAGCTCTAATTATACCCACACACATATGGGTTAATAAAGGCAATATGGGTGATTTTGCCTTTGTTCCTCTCTAATAGAAGAAACACGTACGTAGAAAGGGGGATGATATCCAACCACACTGAGTTAGAAATCTCTTATTAAAATTAAAGACCAAAGCAAATATCTGTTATAATGACCAGAAATAATATAAAAGGACACAAAATGAAAAGCACACAATGGCTTATTGCTGCACCTAAGCCAAGGGTAGTGATGTTCATTGAATTATTAAATAAACGATTATGATAACCTACGATATTAAAGACAGTTGTGTTGCCAGCAGAACCCAAGACCTAGTGTCCTACTACCTGGGAGCTCTGTCCTCTCCCTTTCTGCCTCACAAATGGGCTTGACCCTACAGATGGCTTATTGCAAGTGCCGCCCTTAACAAAAGAACAACATGTATTTATCTGAAAAATTGCATTTAAAAAAATCAAGACAAACACCTTTGCATTTCCATCCCACCAGGGAATAGAGTTTTAATGAACACACGAAGCAGCTAGGTGACATCTTTATCAGTCCTCATAAACCTTGATTGAATACACAGCGATAAGGCCTGTTTAAACTGTCCTCCTCCAGATAACAGGCCTGGAGACAGCGCTGGCCTTAGCAACCAGCGGGAAAAGAGGCCTCTCCAAACCCCAAAGTGCAGCCCCGTTAGGCACGGGGAGCTGGAAGCCACTCCAAAGCTCTGGGCAGCTGGTGGAAGGTGGGTGGGGGTGGGGTGTGGGCTCCTCACCTGGTTTTCTAGAGGCCTCTGGAAGCACTTTTCTCAGGATCACCTTGGGTTCTTGGAATTGAGGTAGTGGCTGGTGTGTTAAACGCTGGTGACCTTTAGCATTTACATCTACAAACATAGAGAAGTTAGAAGGGGCCCTTGGAAAGGGTTTCCTTTCTACCAGCATCATAAAGGAGTGAGGGTACAGACACCTAGAAAGAAAGGAGAGGCAGAAGATTTTCCAAAAGCTTGTCAGTTTCTTCTAGTTCTTGTTCCTTTCTTCTTCTTCTTTTTCTTCTTTTGAGAGAGGGTCTAGCTAAGTGGCCCAAACTGGCCTTGAACTTGTGATCCTCCTGCCTCAGCCTCCTGAGTTTCGGGGATGGCAGGCAGGCAGGCTCCACTTGGCCAGCCCTGGGTTCTTTTTTGGCTCTGACGCACCCAAAGTTTCCAGTGACTACTTGCTACCCCAGTCTTGAGCCCTCAACGTCCCCCACAGACCACAGGAGCCAGTGCCTCTGTCCAGGGGAGACTGGAAGCCTATCAGAAGTGTATCAAGCCAGGGGCTCTCAGCAGCCACAAGCAAGAAAAGGTCAACAGAGGTCACCACAGGTCCACTACACATGCTGTGATGGACGGCTCTGAGCTGGGATTTGAGGCCCCTGTATCGAGGTCCCAGTCTTCCCTGATTAACTGGCAACTCTCAGAGGCAGGACGTGTGGGGCCTCCTCTTCTTCAAATGACAAAAAGAGACTTGGATTCAGAGGGTCTTTCAGATCTAAAATTAGATATTTTATAAAGGAAACTTAGCATGATGGTGGATATTTTCTTTGGCTTGACGGTAGTAACCATTAAACTCTGTGGATGTACAGCAAACATTTGACTTAAATAGATCAAGTCAAAATGATTCCATTAAAAGCATTTTCCATATTTCCCTAAGGCTCCCTGTCTCCCTGTTGTTATTGTGGTTGTTTAATAAAATTTGGTCACTACCAGAGGCTGTCTTATAGGTTAGGACAAAGAATACAGTATGTCATTTCCTACCTCAATAAGATATAGGTTTTTCACCATAACCTTTGACACATGGATGACAACTAAATTTCCTCTCTTCTTTCATCCCTGCATGGGACATGCCGGTGGGGGCAAACCCAAAGCCCCGGGATGCCTTCCTGCAGGCCGCTCACCTAGAGCTTTGGCAGAACAGGAGTGGAAGGAAGTTTCTCAGCTGGGAAATTCCACTGTTGTGTGGAAAACACCTGGCCACCGTGCGCTCAGGGACTTGGACCTTCAGCTGAGTTTGCAAAAGAATTCAAGCTCTTTTGACCCAGGAGTTAAATAGGAAGCAAGTTCATTGGTAAGGGAACGAGGCTCCAGAATAATAACCTGACTTTTGAGCTCTACCTGGCACAAGCCCCATGCCAGCAGTTTCTCTTAACATTCACGCGGAATTTTATGTTTATAAGGTGGTTTCCTCTCACTTTACCACTACACAGCACTATGATTAATATTATTTGCAATTTTTTTTTAAATAAAGAGGAAATCTTGAACACACAGAGAAAGCAGATAAAGTGTCCCAACTAATAAGTAGTGAGACAAGGATTCTGGTTTTGTGGGTGACCACTTGACACACGTCCATACACCGTGTGTATTTTCTAAACCCCAAACCAGCACCTGAGACGTTATGACCATGATGTACTTTGGAGGGAGAGGAAGCAGAAGAGCCCAAACCCCGCTGCCTCGTCAATCTCATGCACTCACCAAACCTGGAAGAGTTCGTGGGGAGCTCCCAGAATACAGAAGATCCCTGGGATCCTTTCTGAAGAGCAGGTCTGTGTCTTCACACAGCATGGAGCCATCATAATATTCATGCAGTATAAGGGAAAGATGTAGACCTCAAAGAAGGATCAATTCATCTAAAATATTTCTTGCCAGGTGCGGTGGAGCACATCTGTAATCCCAGCAGCTCAGGAGCCTGAAGCAGGAGGATTGTAAGTTCAAAGCCAGCCTCAGCACTTTAGTGAGGCCCTACGCAAATCAGCAAGACCTGTCTCTAAATATAATATAAGAAAGGGCTGGGGGCCGGGCACAAGGGTCACACCTGCAATCCCAGCAGCTCAGGAGGCTGAGACAGGAGGATTGCAAGTTAAAAACCAGCCTCAGCAATGGCGAGGCACTAAGCAACTTGGTGAGACCCTATCTCTAAATAAAAGACAAAATAGGGCTGGGGTGTGGCTCAGTGGTCCAGTGCCCCTAGGTTCAATAAATGATATTAAAATAAATTTTTAAAAAATATTTCCTGGTGCTGCCCTTTGTACTCAGAGAGCCTGCCTCTTTCCACACCATTTATAGACATGGTATGACCATGCAATTTATCATTCAAACATCGAACATGAAAAGAGGACTCTTTGTACTTACAATAGACATCAACTGGACTGACCCAGACTGGTCACCCTATCGATGCATATGAAGCACCTGGAACATTCATTCCAATCCCTTAGCAGCCACACCCCACACAACTCAACCTGGGTTCTCTTTCCAGGTTTCCCTTTGCCCTATAAAAATCCATCATGTCCAATTCTTGGACTATTATCATTTTTATTTATTCTTTCCTTCAGCAAATATTTACTGAGTACCACTTATGGTGGAGTGGTATCTATAGGTCCCTTCCAGGAGCTGGCAGTAAATACAGTGATGCACAGATTGGGATTAGAATTCTGGCTTCAACCTGAGTACAGCACTTAGCTCCTCTGAGCTTCAATTTTCTTAATCCAAAGGGGGATAATAAAGGAACTACCACATCAGATTTTGGTATTAAATGAGTCAATGTATGTAAAGTGCCTACTGCAGAAGTGCTATTACTGTAATCAACAAGAGCCACCCATTTCTGACTTAATCATAGCATTATTAGTGTTTTGTCTCCATGTAGATGAAGATCAGTTCCCAACACACTCACCTCATTCATTCAGTGAAGTGGCCACAGATACAGGACACTGGGGAAGAGACAAGGAAACTGTCTGTCAGTTTTCCATTACTGTAACAAAATACCTGAGATAATAAACTTACAGAAAGTCAGGGTTTGCTTTGGCTCATGGTTTTGGGGGTTTAAGTCCATGATCAATTGACCCTTTTTCTTTTGGGCCTGTGACAAGATAGCAAATTGTGGACAGCACAGCAAAATTAGAGTGCACAGCAGAGCAAAAACCACTCACCTCATGGCAAAGGAGCAAAAAAGAGGAGGAAGAGAATACAATCTCCTTCAAGGGCATGACTCCAATGACCTAAAGACTCTCCACTTAAGACTGCCTCTTGAAGTTTCCACTACCTTCCAGTAGCACTACCCTGGGGAGTAAGGCTTTAACACATGGGCCTTTGGGAAACATTTTTTGGGGGTTACTGTGGATTTAACCCAGGAAACTTAACTGCAGAGCCACATCCCCAGCCCTTTGTACTTTTTATTTAGAGACAGAGTCTCGTTAAGTTGCTTAGATCCTTGCTAAGTTGCTGAGGCTGGCTTTGAACTTGTGATCCTCCTGCCTCAGCCTCCTGAGCCACTACAATTACAGGTGTGTGCCACCATGCTTGGTGGCAACACTTAGCAAGATCCAAATCACAGCAGAAGTATAAACATTGTAACCCCTGACTCTTGGGGGTTTGATAGACGTGGAAGAGGAAAGACATTCACAATACACCCATGAAGGATAGTGAGATTCAAAGAGAAAGAAGCAAGGCCTTTCATGAAACAAAGGTGAAAATGTCAGTACTGGGGGTAGCGTGTGTATTTTTTAATTAGGGACAAACACAGTGATGAACACATTTGCTTTTAAAAGTAAAGCAGCCGGGTGTGGTACCACACAAGCCTGTAATCCCAGTGACTTGGGAGGCTGAGGCAGGAGGATCATGAGTTCAAAGCCAGCCTCAGCAATTTAGAGAGACACTGTCTCAAAATAAAAGAAACTAAAAGGCCGGGGATGTAGCTCAGTGGTTAAAATGCCCTGGGTTCAATCCCTAGTACAAAAAAAAAAAAAGAAAGAAAGAAAGAAAGAAAAGAAAAAAGTAAAGCAAAGTGATTTTATTCATGTGTAGTCATGAAACATGTCCTCTGTAGCCTCTAGCTGTTACTGAAAGAATACATTCATCCAAAAAGGAGAGAATTTTTATCTGAAACTGCAAAAGGTACATCTTCCTGGGCTTGAACAAGTAAGCTAACCTATTTTCTCACTTTTCGGGAGAAGTGAGACTTTATGTCACTGATGATATTCGCAACACAAGCCACAGTGGAACTCCATGGAAAATAAACCAAGAGTCGATCCCAGCAAATTCTTTCCAATTTTCCCTTCCTGTCTTTTACCTGTGCCGTCTTCTCCACAAAACCAGCACCAAGTCCTCAGACCTCAGCCTGGAAGCAGCACTGTAGAATCTTAAATTTGACTTTTTGAGAAATAAGCATAAAAGGCCAAATATAAGAGAGAAGGAAAGAGAGAGAGAGAGAGAGAGAAACAGAGACTGAGAAAGAGAAAATGAACAGAAACACAGAGAGATAATTAGATTTTAAATTTAAAACAAAAAATACAGCCTCATGCCACGCAGGCATCCTCGTTAAGAGAAACGACATAAACTGGGGTGTTAGTTAGAAATGGAACAACTGTGAGAAAGCCAAGCTAACCCAGGCAGGAAACAAACCCATCATGCCACACCAGAGGATTTTCTTTTACTTACTTTCTTTTTTTAAGATAAAAATTCTTCGTTGAGCCTTATTCCAGGAAAACCCCCTTCTCCCGCCTCATCCCACACAGAAGGCTGGATTACCCAGGTAAGCATTTCTTGATTTGTTAGACAACTGTTCTTCAGGCTCCCACAGCGTGTACAACCTACGCGAGGCAAGGGGGGTCGGGAGAGGAGACCCACACCTGCCCCCTGGGAGACCCTCTTCCATTTAGGGAGCTGACTTCTTCTGCTGTCTTCTGTGGCAGTCTGAATTTTTTTCTATCATTTCAACCTTGACTGAAGTCCCCAGGGTAACCCATTAGCAATACAAACCCTAAGTTATCGCTCAGTCTATTCCAATTTGGAGATCACCCTGAAGCTTCTATTAATAACATGGGAATTTCACTTTATCGGCGACAGTGTCTCCAAGTGATCTCACTTGATCCTCGAAGCATCCTCACAAGTTAACAATCATCATTGTCAACATTTTACATAGAGGAAAACCGAGGGTCAAAGAGGCTAAGCCAATTACAGAAGGCCGCTGGTCAATTTGGCTCCAAGTTCCAAAATTCCAATTCTTTCCACTAGGGTACTTTATTTTGCCTCTTGGAGTGGGGAGGTCATATTCTCTCTCACCTTGTGGTGAGCAGAATAAAGAAGAAGCCACATTCCAGAAAGTTCTTTAGTCCCCATTAGCTTGCTCACACGACAGCCTCACAGCAGCCCTGAGAAGATAAAGGATTGAAAACACCCTCTTGTGCACAGTCACACTCTCCCTGCTAACATGCCTGCGAAGCTCAAATACCCCAGCAGCCTCAGGGGTGGACGGTGGCCTCTGTGTCCACTCCTCTTCCCATATATTAAATAATTGTCCCAGAAGGGTGATGGGCCAATTTCAGGAGCCAAAGAACAAAAGCCCGGAAAATTTAGTAATCCTGCAACAACAACAGAAAAGAAACTCCCAAGTATTACCAAAGGTCGGCCAAAGCATGGAGACAGTCCAGGGTCACGTGTGTGTTGAATTCCCACGGAGACCGTCCTCCATCCTCCCTGGGTATTCAGTCTGTAATGCCTTACAGATTTCAGGGCTGGCCTCTGACAGCTCTGACATATCTGAACTAAGGCTAACCTCCACGAGTCACTTTAAGGCCTGATAAGTTATACTGTACCTGTCAAGGCCTCTCTCTGCTGAGATTTTCTCTCCTTCTCCAATGGAGGGTGCGGGGAGAAAAAATGATAATGTATCTTTTCCATTTGACTGGCATAATTTCTTCTGCATATTAGAATTAGTTATATTATCCTACATTCTATTTTGTAAGAAAAAGAAAAGATAGACTGCTTTGTTGATGGGGAAACAATTTAATATCCTCCAACTTTTCTAAGTGTTGTTGGCTTCTCTCTGAATTTATGAGGTTTGAGCTGGGTAAGAAGGAGAAGCAATGTCCACATAGTCAAGAAATGAGGTGTATCAATTTGCAAGCCTAAAAATAAGTCAACAGGTTTTCTTTCCTTCCTTCCTTCCTTCCTTCCTTCCTTCCTTCCTTCCTTCCTT